CCCTTCTTGGCAGCTGTTGGAGTGTTTACCAGACTATGGAGTACTAGAAAATAAGTAGACTACTTTGCTGTGAAGGATGAAGAAACAGTTGCTATTTTCCACTAGTCTCTTAAAAGCCTTTTCTTTTTTCACCTCATGGTGTAGTTTCAGGAAGGTGTATGTGTCATTAGTGGCCCTTCATCTCTAACAAACCCCTGTACACCTTACCCTGAGTCCGTGGAGAAGTGTAATACTTGATTTTTACATGATGAATGCAAAAAAACCCAACCAGGTTTCATTTTAGAAGGAAATACAGTACAGCACAATTAAAGCTTTTATCTGTGAGGGGCACAGTTTGTTCTTTTCCCTTTGGGGAGACTGCTGGGAAGTTCACACGTTTGTAAGTGTGAAGTGCTGTTTTGCTGGAGGCAGAGGAGGAGGCCAGGCAGTTTAAAGAAACAAATCTATTCTGCCGTGACTGGCAGCAACGACAGGATTCAGGGCAAGTCGCTTTGGCTTTCACACAGGCACAGTGGGTGCAATAAGCAGGGCTGCACTTCTGGGGAAAAGGGACTAAATTTGTCACACAGTCACCGGGGAAAGCAGTAACCTATTTCTCTGACAATAGCATTCTCTCCCTCTCTCTCTGAGGTTTTGTCACTTTAATGGTGAAAAGAGTTGGTTTCTTGAATTACAGACTCTGTTTCTCTCCCCACCCCTTTCCAGAAATGAAACCTGTTGCCCAGGTTATAGCCACCCTTGATGTGAAAATTAACTGTTGCACAGACTGAGATTCCTCCCCTGCAGCATGGTACACATCAGTGGTTGCAGGGGCTGTCCTGGGAGGCAGTGGTCAGAGAATCCCAGGTGGGTTTGGGTTGGAAGGACCTTAAAGCTCATCTCATTCCAATCTCCCACTAGCCCAGGTTGCTCCAAGCCCCATCCAGCCTGGCCTGGAACACTCCCAGGGATGGAGCATCAGGCAGTTCAGCACATATATAGATAAGTTCAGCAACATAAGGTGAAGGGGAGAAAGGATAGGATAGTAAGGGGAAGATGAGAATTATTCCTGGGAGAGCTGGAAATAGTTGAGCACCTAAGCAGGAGCTAATAGTGAGGGAAGAGAGACCCAGTGGCCTTGGACACAGCTCAGTGAGGCATTCATGGGATACCTTGCTGCTTAGACTTCTTGGGTAAAGAAATCCCTTAAACCTGTTTCTATGGGAGTGAGGTTTTTAGCTCCTCGAGCATCCACATATTACTCACTGTATGCAACTATTTCAAGCATTCACCTGGCCAGTGTTTTGAAGGTACATAATCATGGATCTGTCATCTAAGCTCTTCCCTCACCTTGTTTTAACCCCTGAAACAGCAGCATGTGCATTCCAAACAGGTGACACAGTGGCAGAAGTGCCTACAGTGCTTGTTTCTTTGCCAGTCTCCTGCTGGACATGGTAAATCCAATTCTAGACATTAGGCAATGGAATCATGTACATGAGGAGAGAAAGGGTGGAGTGATTTTAACTCCGAGCCCTTTCAAAAGGGGAAGGTTGTGATTTCAGAGCTGTTAGTGGCATGTTTGATCCTTCCTTATTGTAACTTTTGGTGAGATGAAGTGCCACAAAAGAGGAATTATCTGTAAAGAAGTTGTCAGTGTAAACTTTTGAGGAACTGAATGCTTTGGGGTTTTTTGGTTGGCTTTTTTTGGCAGCATTGGCAGGGGGGAAATATCAGGAGGAACAGTTTTCAAACAGGACAAAGAGGGGTTTGGTCTGTTCAACATGTTGTCATTCTGTGCAATTAGATGTCTAATGGTAATTACTGACAACTCAAGCTGACATCCTTCATCAAATTACACTTAAATCACCAATTCCAAATCTCTGCCTGGTATGAGATGATGCTTTAGCATTCTTTTCCAGTCCCTTTCCTCATGCTGTCATTGCCTGCCTCTTCCCACAGCCACAGCCATGCTGATGGGCAGCATTCCAGGGCCAGGAGACTCCCAGGCATCTCTGAGGCAGATGCACACAAACTCGTCACAAATGTAAAGCAATTAAACATCTGAGATCATTTTTCCTGCCTTGCTCTTGCCCCCCCCCGGGAGGTGGTGATTACATGACGTGAATATATTCGCAGTGAGAACTGTGATAAGGGTGTGGTGTCTGAGGGAATGGAATATGGAATGGGGATGAAAATAACTCTGTCTTTCCGTGGGGATCTGTTCTGAGGCTCCTCAGAGTTGTAAACAGCAGTGACCCAGGGGGTCATGCATGCTATTAAAAGGATAGTTTGCAAAGAAGTGAAAATGCTGCAGAGTCGAATCATGTCTCAGTTGTCCCTCAGCAATTCCCCCATGAAGCCAGAATTCAACTTTGCATTTCCTGTGACTTTCATGAATCATGTCTTTGCCATTTTTCTCTTGGTCGATGCTGTTCTTGCAATCATTTTAACCCTGAAATATTTAGAAAAACATGCATATAACAGAGCCAGCAAAAGGTTTGTAAGTTTTATTGTGAGGTGCATCACACAAGTGAAGATGAGATGTGTCTGGGGAGAAATACATTCTCTTCTGAAGACTCCTGAAGCCACACAATATGCATCTTGTTTTGTTGTTCAGTGCTCTACTTGCTCCAGCTGAAGGTGGAATCTTGGGCTTATTTTGGAAACAGCACAGTTAGATTTTTACACTTGACGCTTCCCTTGGAGAGAGAGAAGAAATGGGAATGCTGTGCACATAGTGTTGGATAGCTTAACTCTTGGAAGGTTTGTGTGTGCCAGCTCTGTGTTAGTTGCCTAGACAGTCCCTGTGTCTGGCTGGTGGAGTTGTGCTGTGTCTGGCATTCCAAACCGCTGCTCTGAATGTGTGCTAAACCCGCCTGGATTCAGGCTCCAAATCCAGGGCTGAGCACAGCTTCCTGTCTGTTCCAAGCCCTCTTTGTCTGCTGGGGGCTGTGACACTCCAGTTGTGTTGGGGGCTGGCCCTGGTGCCACATGGAATGCTTGCAGGAGCAAGTAGGAATTTGCACAAAGGGTATGTATGGCAGGAGGAAGAGACAGTGTGGGCTCTGGGCACGCAGCATGAGATGTGCTGTTGGATCAATAAGCCACTTCTGCTTGTGTAACATCCCTGGCAGAATCTGTCTGCTGAAATGGCTTTGTGGAGTATCCTGTGAACATGGGAGCAAATGTTGAAGGTGTTGGTATTTGTTTCCTGGTCGAGGTGAGGTTGTTGTGACAGTTGTGGTTGATCACTGGAAGATCCAGAGGCTAAATCTCCTTTGGCTGAAAGGTTTCTTGCTTACAGATACAAGCCCTAAAATCAAAATGCCCCAAACAAATGCTGCCCCAGAATGAAATCAAAAAGGCCCAGAATGTCCCAAGTTAACTGCAGTAAGTGACAAGCATTGAGGCTAACCTTGCTGTCTCAGCAGGGTTGAACTTGGGTTTGTTTTTCCCTTTAATAGGAGTGAAAGGGGCTGTGGCTGATTCAGGCTCTCTTGATTATGTTTGTTTTGGGATGGTATCAACTATCTTTATTGACGTTGCACTCAGACTTTCTGTTGCCTGCTGTAAAAGCAAGAGTTACTCATTTTGCTCCGTGTATCAGATGAGCAACTTAGCAGAGATCATTGTCCAAGCCTGGACAAGTGTGATCATATGGCTGAAAACTTGACTGTCTATTAAAACTGATAGCAAACCTGCCCACACATGTGATGGCAACCATTGTATTCCCTGGTTTTATTTGCTCCTGCCATCCTAACACTGCTCTTCCTTGGCACGTGAGGGTGAGTGGGTTTGTGGCTGTATTTAACTGAAGCATTAAAGGCTTGTGCTTTTATATTCAGGGCCTGGGTTGGTCCCTGTAAGCAGCTATGTGGGATTAGCATGCTGTTATTGCCACTGGGATAGGGATTGGCTTGGAAATAGAAGCCTGAGATCTGTTTGCACTTGACAGTATATGCAAAAAGTGCTGTATTTAGTCTGCTGAGAAATTCCTGTTCTCATACTGGGTTAATTGCTGAAGAGTGACATGGAGAAATGTTAGTGCAGTGCTATAGTGCACCCTCAGATGTATTAACAGCTTTAAGAATTTCCAGGAAGAAAGCAAAAATAAAATTACAACATGGGAAAGGAGTGGTGCAAATCCCTTTGGAAAATCTGAGTGGCTGGATGAAAAAATGTCACCTGAAAAAAACCCACCACAAACCAGAATGTAACTGGCCTCTGTTGTCAGGTAAATACTTGCAGGGTGTGTTTATATCCACTCCATGGGATAACTTAGCCTTGCTGCTGGATAATTGGGTCTAATCAGAATATATTCCAAGGGTGTCTTAGTGTATTTGCTGCTAAATCTTTCCCCCACTAATCTGAGCAGCTGTAATCACTTATCCCTGGGTGATTTCAGAGCTGTGAGGCCCTAGATACAAATCTCTATTTACCTGCAGACCAGGGAGCTTCTGTTTTTTATTCTGATGTTTTTGTCCAGCCTCCTTTGGGGATCTTCCCTTCTGTCTTATTAGAGCCAAAGTTTTATGGTTCTAGGAAGTACTTTGTTGAGCTTCTGCTTCTGGTGCTGTCAGCTGCTAAATAAAGCAAGTCTAAGTACATACTTCTGTTTTCATTTTTCACTGGTTTGTTCTTTTTTTTTGTTGTTATTTGTTCATTAACAGGCTGAAAAAAATGCTTACTGATACAGGAAAAAACCCAGAAGGGGAACAAAACAGGAAATACTTGATAGTACCAAGTGTTTGTAAGCATGACTGCCACTTACTTATGCATATTCATCTTAGATGTACATGTCATCTCTCCTCAGGTTCCTGAGCAGCAGCCAATTACTTTATGCAGTGGAGCTGAAGATACCAAGCATTATGAGGAGGGCAAGAAATGTGTGGAAGAGTTGGCATTGTACCTCAAACCACTCAGCAGTGCAAGAGGTAGTTCCTGCATTGCTTCCTTGGGAAATGAAAGCTGGAAACAAATAAGATGCAAACCAAGCTATCCAAATGATTAGTTAGTCTGTTTGAGATATGGATATAAACCTAGTTTAGAAACAAATTGAAGCAAACTACAACCATTAAGGATAACCTTGGAGGGAGGTGTAGAATTGAAAGGTGTCAAAAAAAATGTGGGAAAAGGCTGAGGTGTTAGGCTGAGGTGTTTGGCCATGCTGTGGTAAGTTGAGACAAACTTTGTGACCTGCTTTGACCTCTGCAGACTAAGTGTTTTGCCCTTTGTTTTCAGTTTTGCTTTGTGAAAACTGTAGTAATGCAGCTTGTTTGTAGAGAAGGAATAAACTGAAATGAGAAAGTTAGTGCATGTAGGTTGTGTTAGGAGCTGCAGGGACAGGACTAGGAGGAATGGGGAGAAATTGGAAGAGAGGAAATTTAGATTAGATATCAGGCAAAAGCTTTTCCTGTGAGGGTGGTGAGACACTGTCCCAGGGTGCCCAGGGAGGCTGTGGCTGCCCCAACCCTGGCAGTGTTCACAGCCAGGTTGGATGAGCCTTGAGCAACCTGCTCTGGTGGGAGGTGTCCCTGCCCAGGGCAGGGGTTGGGGCTGGGTGAGCTCTGAGCTCCATTCCAACCCCTTAACATACTATGTTTCTATGAAACTATATCTAAGAGAAATAAGTAAAACTCCATTTATACAAGCTCTTATGCAAGAGCTGAGTCAGTCTGAGTAATTCTAACATGGCAAACCTGCACTGTGGCCAAGAATATGAATTTTATCTATACTACATGTGCTAGACTTAGGCCGTAGATCAGCCCAGGTAGTAGAGGTGAGTGTCATGGGCCTCATGGTTGCAGAAGTGAATTTTTGCAAGAAGCTGTGTCAGTGTTCTGCAGCAGTGTGATAGCAGTATCACTCGGGGGAGTAGTGGCCCAGTGAACAAGCTCTGGGTCTGGAGCCAACTCAGTATGGAGCTGAATGTCTATTCTAAGTCAAAGTGAGTCACTTAACCTGGATCAAGTGGCTCCCAGCACCTTTGTTGAGGTGTCTTGTGGAGTCACCATCCCTGGAAGTGTCTAAGAGGCATCTGGACCTGGTGCTGGAAGATGTGGTTTGGGGGTTACAGATGAGTGACAGGTTAAGTGTTGGACTTGATGCTCTTAAAGGTCTCTTCCAGCCTTGATAATTCTACGGTTCTGTGGTTCAGAGTTTTTGCTCATAACTACACATCATCCAATTCAGTGTGAGTTTGCCTAGGCCGAAGCAGTGCAGGTACCAGTTGTAGGCAAGAAACAAAATATCTTGTGAAGTCAATCAAATGTCCAGGTGAGCCTTGAAATCCATCGCTAAGGGATGAACTGAATCCGTATGGGAGGGTGTGGGACAAACTGCTGAAGTGGGGAGAGGATTCATTAGAGGTTCCACCTTCTTAGGGAGCCAGATCAGTCACAAGAATTAAACCACTGGGGACTCCTAGGAAACTGCTTTTAATGCTGAGTGAAATGAACTGGCACAACTGAACTTGTGCTCTGCCTTCACTAGTGTTCAGTTTGGCAAAGTGCACATCAAGAGAACTAGGTTTGCCCTTCTGTAGTAGCCACTGAAGGCTGGCACAAGAGGAGGGAGATACAAGGTAGCTGATTTCCTTGTGTTTGATTTTTTTTGTTTTGAAGGTGTGGGTCTTAACAGTACTACTCAGAGCGTGCTGAGTCGTCCCATGCAGAGGAAACTGGTGACATTAGTCCACTGCCAGCTGGTGGAGGAGGAAGGACGCATCAGGGCCATGCGTGCAGCACGGTCCCTGGGGGAGAGGACAGTCACAGAACTCATTCTGCAGCACCAGAACCCACAGCAGCTCTCCTCCAACCTCTGGGCTGCAGTGAGAGCCAGGGGCTGCCAGTTCCTTGGACCAGGTAGGTGGCATCAGTGCTGCTGCTCTGCTAGAGGCAGTTCAGAGCTGAGGAGGATTGATAAATGGATGTTAAATTGAGTGATTTTATTAGGCAGCAGCTTAATTTCTTAATAGTAGGTCTTCAGAGTTAATGATCTATCTGTTGGGCTGCTGTCATGGACTTGCTCTCATTTTTAGTGCTTTTGCAAGTTTTCTGTAAAATTCAGAGTGGTGTGTCTTTTTCTTGTCACAAGATGAATGGGAAGTAGTTTCTCAGTTGCAGTTCTTTGTAGGAGGAAGACCCTTCTGGAAAAAATGAGGTTACCAGGACCTGGCTGGCTTGGCTTCTTTCCTTACTCTGCTGTAATAAACATGCAGAACAGTTGTGGGGAGACATTTGTGATGTCTGTTTACACACTTGTATAAAGTTACAGCCTTAGAAATTCATTTTTCTTCATAGAATACTAAAAAATATCAATTTTACTTAAAATAGTCTCCTTATTGAAAATACAGATTTCACTTGTTAAAGACCAAAAAAAGTAATGCCTTGAAATATGAAGCCAGTTTCTTAAAATAAGCTAAAATTAAAGCTTTTCCCACTGAAACAAATGAAGGAGGACTGATTTTTGGGATGCTGAATTCTCTACCTCTGCAGGGAAGAGAGACCTGTTACCTAGCAAAACAGCAGTGCTGCAGCACCTGATTTACTTGTGTGGGCACTGGTTGTTCTTTTACCTGAGCAGACAGACTGCAGCAATCTCTCATCATTTGTCTCTTCATGTTTCCTCTCACCTTCAGCAATGCAAGAGGAGGCTCTAAAGCTGGTCCTGCTTGCTCTGGAAGATGGATCTGCTCTGTCACGGAAGGTCTTGGTTCTCTTTGTGGTGCAGAGGCTGGAGCCAAGATTCCCTCAGGCTTCTAAAACTAGCATTGGGCATGTTGTCCAGCTCCTTTACAGAGCCTCCTGCTTCAAGGTATGAAGATTTCTGCTTGGAGATTTCATAATGGGGTAAAAATAGGTTTTCACATTAAAGTTTCATTGTCCTGTAACATTAAATGTTCTTAAAATATGAGTACTTAGAGGTGTTGCTCGCTAAGTCCCATGTGTGTTTGAAGAGTTTCTTGTACTACAACATGGGTTGGAATTGGAACTTGAAGACTTAAAGCTTGGCTTTGACTCTGTCCAGTTTTGATAGTTACAAAACCTGTGTGTAAGCCACTGTACTTATCTCCTTAGAAGTGGCTTAAAGCTGGAAAATCCCTAGTTCTGTTAATTCAGTGGTGCTGTGCTTGGAAACAAAGAAATAGGAGGCTCTTGGGTATCAGAGTTGTATGAAGAGAACTTAAGCTGCTTAACGTACTTTGCAGTATTTAATGGTCTGTTACTAGGTGCTCAGATGTCATTCACTTTTGCTAAAGGAGTAGAAAATGCTGTGGGTTTGCTAACTGTGCCCTCAAACTTGTGCAGTGCACACCAAATACCTTGATTGAAGAAGTTGTTTAGGAAGTGTGATGCTTCCATCAGTGTCTGGATCAGTCTGAGTCAATTCTTTTTGGTGTACAGTTTATAGTGGTTCATTCTTCCAGAGAAGAGAGTGAGGCTGATGAAGGGACTGGAGCACAAGTGCCATGAGGAGAGGCTGAGGGAGCTGGGGGTGTTCAGCCTGGAGAAGAGGAGGCTCAGGGGAGACCTTCTCACCCTCTGCAACTCCCTGACAGGAGGTTGGAGTCAGGTGGGGGTTGGTCTCTGCTCCCAGGCAACAGCAGCAGGACAAGAGGGCACAGACTCAAGCTCTGCCAGGGGAGGGTTAGGTTGGATCCTAGGCAGAGATTTTTTAGGGAGAGAGTGCTCAGGCATTGGAATGTGCTGCCCAGGGAGGTGGTGGATTCCCCATCCCTGGAGGTTTTCAAGCTGAGACTGGATGTGGCACTTAGTGCCATGGGCTAGTGACCACGGGAGGGTTGGATTCGATGATCTTTGAGGGCTTTTCCAACCTGGTTGATTCTATGGTTTTATAGTGGTTCCACTCTCTTCAGAGTCTGTTATTTTAGCAGGAACTAGAGTTCACTGAGTAGTGTCATCCTGATTGCAGTTCGGGAGGAAGAACTTAGTTGCTGACTGAAGATGTCCCTGGGACTCCACGTAACCCCTGGCTTATCCTGCTTAATGGCATTTGGCTCCTTTTCCTCCTAGGTGACCAAGCGAGACGAGGATTCCTCCCTGATGCAGCTGAAGGAGGAATTCCGGACGTACGAAGCTCTGCGGAGGGAACACGATTCCCAGATCGTGCAGATAGCCATGGAGGCAGGTTTGCGCATCGCTCCGGACCAGTGGTCCTCGCTCTTGTATGGAGACCAGTCCCACAAATCCCACATGCAGAGCATCATTGACAAGGTAAAGCCACCTGCAGTCAGCCCAGTCCACTTTGTTTGCAGCTGCAGGAGACTGAAGCGCTCGTAACACTGAATTTAAACTCTGCCGATGCGCAGTGAGCCACGCGTCACTGCCCCGTTTCAAACCCCATTATGCCCCAAATAATGAGGAGATATGTTTGTAACCTAATGAGTCTTGCTGCCTCTGCCATCCTGCTGTTTCTTGCTACAGATAGGAAGCTACAAAGTTTAGCTCCACAATTGGGCTGTGACCTTTGTCAGCAGCTGCTAACTGCCAGTGTAGTGACAGAGGTTAATGGGCTGTGTTTCCGGGCAGGAAGTCACTCAAGTAAAAATCACTCCCCTAGTCTACAGCTGCAGCAAGACAGAGGTGGAAGCACATTGCCCATTGCCTAAATAAAACATCTGACCTCTGCAAATGCCCAAATCTCTTTGTTTCAAAGCTTTTAAATTAGGGGGCTCACCTTTTAAAATGCCAAAATTAGGTGGGGAGAACTGACTGAACCTTGTTGTTACAAAAGCTGTGCAACAATTACTTTGGCTGCTGTGCAGGAGGATTGGCTTCCAGATGGGTCTGGTGTGTGTTTATTTCTGCCTTTGCCCACCTTTTCAAGTGTTCTGCCAGACAGCTCCTGGAGGATCTAGGTGGAATTAAAGGGGTTTAAATACTGGAACTGTGTGATATTAGTAAATGGAATGTTGGTAGCTATCTTGTCCTTCACTCAACTAACTTTGCTGTACTCAGCTTAAAGCAGGGTGCAAACCTCATGTCTTGGGGTCTGGAGATACTAAACTCCTCAGAAATCTGAATTAAATGGGTTCTAATGTTGTCCTTTTATTCCTGAGTGCCAGTACAGCACAAAAGAAATTGGGTTTATTGCTAGAAATAATACCAGCATTTGTTTTGTCTGCTTAGAGCTGTATTTTAACCTGCAGTGTCAATGAATTGTGTGTTCTTCCTAGCCAGGGCTCGCTGAAATGGGCTGTGTGAGAAGTGTTTTACTCCAGCTGGGGGAGACAGCTCTTGTGAGCTCCTGGAGCAGCCTTCAGGCATCATGAGGATTGCTCTGCCTGTAGAAAGTTAATGATGGTAATTTTTTTAAGTTGCAGACCCCAGCCTCGTTTGCACAGAGTGTTCAGGAATTAACTATTGCTCTGCAGAGGACTGGAGACCCAGCAAACCTGAACCGACTGCGACCTCACCTAGAGCTCCTGGCAAACATTGACCCCAGTCCAGGTAAGTCTGGGTGTTTTCTATCAGAACCTTTAACTTAGAGTTTAGCAGGATGAGTTTAACACTGTTGAAGGATTGGAAGTTGTTCATTGTGTGTAAGGAAACATCCTCTGACTCTCAAACTTCGGATTCTTGACTGGAATTCTTAACCAGCCTGGGCAAAGCAGTAATCTGTGTGAGGAACTGTGTTGGAGAATGGTGGGACATGATCCTGGGTATGCACCTGGGGAAGGCCAAAAAAAGCTAGGCCACAGTCCCCTGGGAACGAACAGACACAGTCCTGGGAATGCACCTGGGAATGCAGTGTACAAGCAAGGCTCTGGAGATAGTAACTTCTATATAGATAGGCAGTAACTCAGCTGGGCAGATGGCAGGGGTAACTCGTCCTTGAGGGTGAGACAAGCAAGTTTGAGAAAAACAGCTAGGAATGCACCCAAGCCTGGGAAAGCAAGAGATAATCCTCACAGCTGCAGCTGCGAGTAGGGAGAGTACCTGAATGCTATCTTTAGTGCCTAGCCAATTAAAAATGATTGATAATTGTATGCCTGTCCTGCACTGTATAAGAAAGAGCCTGTTGGACAATAAAGTTGGAGCTTGCTGTATCACCCACACGGAGTCGGCCGCTTGCTTCCCTGTGTGGAACCTTCACCTTTCCCAACAGAACTGAACTATCCTGAAGCTTAAATAGCTTCCAGAGTATGGCAGGAGTAATTTCACCAGTTGTCTGAAGAGTTTCCTCCTTTGACAGCCCTGGGTGAGCAGGGATGAGCATGTTCAACATATAATCCTGTGAGGTTACACAGGGTTGTACTTGATACTGGGCAGTGCTAACTGGGGGAGTGGCAGCACTCTGAGCTTCCTCCTTTCCCCTTTTTTAGTACATGTGCTGCTATTTCAACCAGATTGCAAAACAGCAGGAACATTGATACAACCACTGTGCTTAAAGCAGAGCCTTGGCTGCCACTGAGGTGCCTTTTTCTCTCCAGTTCTCTACCATGGCAAATAATTTGCTTACGAACTTGGGGAAGTCAAGAAAGCACTCAACCAGATTAAGGACTTGCATTAACTTGGCTAAAAATTCTGTCTTGTTCTTTGGTCTAGAAGTTCAGTTTCTGATCTGAGGTCTCTAGCCTGCACACATTGTACTCAGAAGATTCCCTTAGCAGCAGCTTAAGCTGTGTAGAGAGTTTTGTATTCCAAAGTAGAGCTTTGATAGACTGAATAGATAGAAGTTGGGCAAAAATCAGTCTAGACAAGAAAGACTGGTACCCTAGGGAATATGTAATTCTGCAGAGGTGGGAAAGTCAGGAAAAAAGAAGAGAGTTGGAAAGAATGTAACTGGGAAATAAAACCTAAGCTGTTGGCAGAGAAAGCTGGAAATGGTTGAAAAAGTCAGCAGTGCTGTGAGGATGGACCACCTGAGGGAAAAGGGAAGTGGCAGAACAGAGTGCTGTGGCTGAGGGTTTATTTCATACCTGTTAATATTTGCCAGATCAGTATTGCATATCTAAACTACCTGAAGAGCTGAACTATAACTTCAGGAGATGAGAAGTTGTAGTTCTTATTTGTTTAACCAAACAGAAGCTCAGCTTCCCTTTCAAACAGAGTTGTGCTTTACAGCTAAGGGAGATGTAGTATTTTCTTCCCAAATCTTTCCTACTGTAACAAGCTAGGGACAAAACTGTGTGTGGACTGCAAATTTGTGAGCCAAAAACTGATCAGGAAGGTGACATCACTAGTAGCCTCATGGTAGTGAGGGTCTAGGTGAGTCTGGTCTTGATGGTTCCCTTCAGTGCTCTTGAGTTGCTTCCCTGCTGCTCTGTAGGCACCTTGGAGTACCTCTGGAGGAATTTACTCCTGGTGAGCAGAATGTAATGTAATTAATTGTGCTAAAGATCTTGAAAGGCACTTTGAGGTCCTGTGGTTTGCAGCAGAGTGTGCAGCACGTGGTGGGAGCATCAGCTGCTGGAGCAGAGCCAAAAAAATGAGGCAAGTAAATTGGCTGCAAAAGAAAGCAAGTGTTCCTGTGGAATTGAGGCTACAGTTTATTCACACTGCTGTCTGTTCAATGGTGTCTGATACACAGATGTGTCTTGGGATGGTTTTCCCAGGAGAGAGGCATCAGTTTATTGCTGCTCTGACTGTGCCTGTGTGATCAAGGCCTAGTGATGGTGTTTGTACAGGCTGATTTTACCTGCAGGAGTCTGAATGCACAGAGGGATTTTCAGCCTGATGTTTTTCATCGTGTGCAGAGTTTGTACAGTGCATTTACTCTGGAGTTCTTTTTTGAGCTGTGAAAATTCTTGGCAAAGGAAATAATTTGACATACTAATCATAGTCTGACTGGCTCATATGGTGTTTTGTGCAGCTCAGTTTTGAACCTATAGGTAGCTTTGTTCTTTAGGTGGTAAATATCCTGAGTTCAGGTACTGGATGCTATTTGTCTACTGGTGAAACATTTGATAAAACATTTTTGCTTGTCTAGTGAAGTTTTGTGATCCTGATGGTTGTTTTGTACCTAGTTTTGGAAGATCCTTCTGACTTTTTCTATTCTGTTCTGTGTCCATGCAACAGATGCTCCACCTCCAACATGGGAACAACTGGAAAATGGTCTAGTTGCTGTGAGGACTGTGGTTCATGGCTTAGTGGATTATATCCAGAATCACAGCAAAAAAGGAACAGATCAGCAACAGGTAAAAACCTAAATCATTTAGGAAATGCTTACACCTAAATTTTATTGACTGTATCCAATAGTAGAGGTTTAGTGTCATCTGGAGGGATTTGGTTTGATGAGGAGCTGATTGAAAACAGCACTGCTGGCTCAGGTTTATCAAAAAAGAAACAAGAAAAGCAAAAACCCAAAGCAGCACACACAAAATACCTGTTGAATTAATCTGCAGAGCTCACTAGGATGGAAGTGAAAGAGTCTGGTCCAGCTGCAGGCCTAGGGATGTGAATAAACAGCCCTCCTGCCTGGTGGGTGGGGAGGGGATGCCAGAGTGCCACTCTGACCTGTGGGAATTTTCTTGGATTTGTTTTCATGAGGTATTTCAGCCAGTTGGGTCTGTGTTAATGAAATAAATTTTATACCTGTGCTTAATGGTCTGTCAGGTTTGGAGAGTTGAGAATCATTCATATAAAGGTGCAATCCAAGTTCCTGAAACAAATTTCTTGTTTCAGAGATGAGATGATGTTGCCAAATATTCTATATCAGCTTATCCCATAGTTACCTTATCACACATTCCTTTGATGTCATTTTGTTGAGCAGCTCACTTGATGTAAATGCTGCTGCTGAAAGACAGAGCTGCCTGTCCCAGTCCCACTGCTCCCTCCCTTTGGCACTCAGCCTCTTGGAGAGCTGGTTTGGGGAGCTCAACTGGTAGAAAGATTCTCCCTGCCAGAAAAAGGGCAAAATTAAAGTGAATTATTTCTGCTCTTTCACCTTTTTGTATTCACTGCGGTGGCTAATGAGCACTGTCACCAGCCAGAGGAAAAGCACTAGGAATACACAAGTGGGAATCAGGGAGGGGAGAACAGTGAGGCTGTTTGTTCTGCTGAGCCCATGGCCTGGACCTGGGACATTCTGTGCCACTTGGAAGGGAACCCAGAGCCTCCCCAGTGGGAAAGGGACAGCTGAGTGCTGAGCAGAGCTGTGCAGCTTATGTACACCCTGCCTGGGTCTTCTTTTCTCTACAAAACATAAATAAATCAATTTGGAGGTGACTTCTTACAGATTTACACCTTTTGGCTGAGCTGCTCAGCAAGCAAGAGTTGACTTTTACAGACATTTCCCTCAGTGGGGACTCTTAGTGGGATATTTCTGCCTCTGATTTAATTCTGCTTTAGGAACTAGGAATTTAAAGGTCTTTGAGACTACCTCTGGCTTCTGTTGGAGTTTATTTAGAGGCACTGGCAGATGGGTGACCATGCAGACAGCAAGACTGCAGTAAGGCATTGTTTTTTGGGGAGCTTAGCTAAGAAAAATACAGAAGACAGCCCATTCCCTGCTGCTCCGTGTAGGAGTAATGTTTCACCCTCAGCTATTGATGGAATAATTGCAGATGGTGATGAGGTTTTTCTTTTAGTGCAAAAGGGAATGTGGTGAAATTTAACTCTCACAGAGATCAAAGGGATACTCAGGTGCCATTTTGAGCTGGCAGAAAGCAAGGAAAAAGCAACTAAATTGTGTTTATTTTCAATCAATATTTGGCAATTATCCTGGTCATTTTTTCATCCTGTATCAGTTTTGTCCACTTAACCGTGTCCTAAAATGTACAGCTGTGTTCCTGTCAAGCTCTTCAGTAAGGAATGTGAATCAAAATGTTTTAGAAACCTGAGAGTGACTTAGTTATCAAGATGTCTCCTGTTGGTTCTGTTGAAGAACCAAACACAAATACCTGCTACAGTCATTTATTCCCCATGAGGAACTCCTGCAACATGTAGACTGAAGGAATTAGCAGCCATTCTCTAGTAAGAGGATGCATTCAGTTCTTGGGAATTGCACTGTGATGTTGAGATGTCTCACCTGGTCTCTCTAACCTTGTCAGCCTCCTCAGCACAGCAAGTACAAGACATACATGTGCCGAGACATGAAGCAGAGAGGAGGATGCCCCAGGGGAGCCAGCTGCACCTTTGCACACTCACAGGAGGAGCTGGAAAAGTAAGTGTGGTTCAAATCAGTCCAATCTCTGCTTTGTCTTACCTCTACGGGTCATTTCTCATCTCTAGGAATGAGGAGAGGAGGCATAACCTGGCACTTAAACTAGTGAGAAATCATGTGAAAACTGCTCACAGTCATCTCTTCTGCCTGTGCTTCCACACAGGGTATTTGGCTTTGTTCACCAGTAATGCAGCTCTGACAGTTTGTCACACAAATGTGGTTTGGGGCTTTTGGTGTTGGGTTATTTTCCTTATTTCTTAAGGGTGACTAACATGCTGTCAGTGCTGCATCCACTGTGGTCACTATCTGTGTCTACTTCTCATCATGCCTCAGTATTCATCTTCTGCCTGTGCTTCCACACAGGGTATTTGGCTTTGTTCACCAGTAATGCAGCTCTGACAGTTTGTCACACAAATGTGGTTTGGGGCTTTTGGTGTTGGGTTATTTTCCTTATTTCTTAAGGGTGACTAACATGCTGTCAGTGCTGCATCCACTGTGGTCACTATCTGTGTCTACTTCTCATCATGCCTCAGTATTCAGGTGGGTTCCTGGTTCCAGGTGTTTTTTTTTGAATGTGTTGCTAGCTATCCAGAGAGCTAAAAAAGAGGTTTTTTTCCTGCAACAGTTATTCTCTGAAACTTTCTGACAGATGCAGTAACTGTGGAGTGGTTAAATCTATTGTTGGAGAGTTAAAAATGAGCTCATATAGTCTGTAGTAAATCATTACATCCATTACAGATTTAGAGGGGCTCCCTGTTACCCAAGAGCAAGATGCAGGTTTAAATTTTGTATTTTGAAGAAAAATGTATTATTTAGGAGTTAAAAGAAATACAGTGTATTATGTATATTATACATAACTTGTTACTTGGGTTTGGGGCTAAAATAATTCCTGTCTTTCAAGTAAGTTTTAATCAGAAGGAAAACTGCAGAGATGTGGAATTGGCATGCTGTGTTTCTTTTTCTTTGCTTAATCTAACCCTTGAAGCTTTAATATATCATTCTCTTGGGTCTGTAGCAGCACAGTGCATAGGGAAAGCAGGAAGGGAAAAAGAGCAGAGCACGTGGTGTGAGAATGACAAAGGCAGTTATTGAAATGGACAAAGAATAGGACTTTGATACTTGTGTGCTGCAGGAACAGTTGGGGGTTTTGCCTTTTGTCATCGTGTTCAGAAAATGGAGGTTGGTAGTGCTGTTTGGGATGGGTTTGTTAACCCCTCTGGGTGCTGAGGCACCGTTGGTACCTCTCAGCTCACGGTGTGTGTCAAGGACTGTGTGTGAGCTGTGCAGGTGGGAGAGGCCTGTTGCAACCAGAGTGACCTGCATGCCTTAGCATTACTGTTGTCCTGGGCTGAAGTGAATGTTTGTGCTGGTTCCAATTGCAGTTGTGGGTGGTTGAGGAACTTGGAGTTCTGATTCTTCCTTGTTCCTCTTACCTTTGCCGAATTCCTTTGAGTAGCTATTGTGTTAGTGCTGCTCCTTTGAAAAGTGCTTAGTGGGAATGATGTGCCTTGCTGTTGCTGTGTGGTTCCTGTGTGTCTCTCTATACTTTGAAGTTTGGAGGAAGGTTATGGGGAAGTGTGTGGCAGTGCCTTAGATACCACAGTGCAATGTAGACTTGCTTAAGCAGCAGCTCATTCCCTCTTGGCAAGGGACAAAGGCCCAGTTGACATAGGCAAGTATTGAACCTTTAGATGAATTTTGTCCTGCACGTGTGGAGACTGCAACAGACATTCATAAAATTGTTCAGAACAATCCAGTGGGCAGCACTTTGAGTTTTATTCTATGTGTTTTATCATGGATGGAGCTGAGTAAACTCCTCCTGTCGCCTCTGATTGAAAGGTGTCTGTGCACATGCATTTGTCCCTTCTGAGCTCTTGTGTTCTAGAGAGGTGGGGAGGCATGGCCAGTCCTTCTCAACTTGCAGATCCTTCAGTGAGCCAGGAGCCATCAGACACTGCACCTCTAAGAGAGGGACAAATGTCCAGAAGCAATTGGCAGGGGGAGCATGGCAGTGGTGTCCCAGCATCCTGCTGCTGCTTTGCAGGGGGAACCTGGTTTGGGTATTGAGGGGAGGCCAAAGTAAAGCCATGAGTTCAATGTGGGGACTTGACCTCTGCTCACCTCCATGGTCCTGAGCACTTGGCTGCTGTCAGGACGTGCCAGAGTGAGAGCTGTGATCTGTCCCTGCTCAGGTGATAGCCTGATTTATTCACTGAGTGATCCCCCTGCCAGCACACTGCAGCTAGAGTTTATAATTGAGTGGGTAAAGATGGATCCAGGCAGGGAAGTGGCTGGAAGATAATCTATGAACTCTTAGAGATGACCATCTCTGTAAGAAGATTACACTTTGACTCTGGACTCGGTCGCATCGAAAAACCAAAACAACCCCAGCAATAAACTCCTTTTTTGCCTCTGTGGCTTTGGTGTTAATGCTGTGCATGTGGGAAAACAAAGATTATCTAAAGACTGAGGAACAGAGTATAACTACCCTCTTTTTCTCCAATTCTGTGTGTGCCTTCCTAGCCTGGGCTCCCATCTCCCTCAGATAGATATGGAAGTGTTGGCCCCAGCCCTGGTGAAGAAATGGCCTCTTGTCCTGTGGGAACATTCAGGTCTGCAAACATGCCCTTGCATTCTGGAATCTGAGCTGATGGCAGGGTGGTTAGTGGAGGACCTTCAGCTCTGGAATTTGCTCTCTCCATTGCTCCAGTGCTGTCAGCCTGCTGGGTTTTGTGGGATGTTAGTTAAGTCCCTGTGTTTACATGGCATCAGGTAGATTTTTGGAATTATGGTGTGTTCATAGAGGTTTTATCTTTGCAATCACTTTATCAAACCACACAAATGGTGTGAGCTGCATATTGATAGAAGTACACAAGTCTTAGCAAACTGTGCTTTGAAAGGTGTCTCATGGTAATAAACTTGTCTCATTATTGGGCAGATGGTGCAAAAGGGCTATCTTCATCCTGTGTCATCTCAATTTTCTGCTGTTTGGTTCTTCTCTATAAAATAGGCTTGAATAGTCTGTGGTTCTTACTCTGAACCTTCAGTTGCTGTATTTTATGTGATAGTGGTTTATGTGATGTTTAATACACTTTTGTCAGTTGAGATGTGTGTGCACAGGAAGTAAGGTTTCTAACCTTGCTGTGTGAAGTTGGGCTGTGCAACTTCACACAGCAAGGTTATTCTTGATGCACTTGTGATCCTCGTTGTGATTGAAACTGCTGTTAACAGTTCAACTAGCAGGGAAGTTATGTTCTAACAGATTTCCTCACCAGCCCTTTGAATCCAAACCTGAAGCTTTCAGTCGAATCTGTGGTTGAAACATCTTGGGAGTGCAACTCCTTTTGCTTTGTGTTTTGTTTCAGTCGTTGACGTGTGGTTTCTCTCTCTGCAGATTCCGTAAAATGAACAAGCGTCTGGTTCCCAGAAGACCCCTGAGTGCCTCCCTGGGCCAGCTGAACGAGGTGGGCCTGCCCTCAGGAGCTATCCTCTCAGAGGAAGGGGGAGTGGACTTGCCCAATAGGAAAACCTCTGCTCTTCCAAACGGAATCGTGTCAACCGGCAACACAGTGACGCAACTCATTTCTCGAGGAACTGACTCTGGGTATGAAGCTGCTCTGAAGCCAGGGAAGATGGACCACCTAAGCAGCAGTGCCCCTGGATCCCCTCCTGACTTGTACGGCTCTTCCTACCTGTTGTTCAGTGTTGTGTGTCAATGTGCAGTAGAAACAGAGTAAACCCATTCTCTAGGAAAGAAATAGAATGGGGGTTGGGTTTGTGGCTTGTTTTTTTTGTTGGTTTGGTTTGAAAAGCTAAAGCTAAAACTCTAAACTGCTTTGGAGTATGTTAAGGGGTTGGAATGGACCTTAAAGATCATCTAGTGCCAACTCCTGCCCTGAGTAGGGACACCTCCCACCAGAGCAGGTTGCTCAAGGCTCATCCAACCTGGCTGTGAACACTGCCAGGGTTGGGGCAGCCACAGCCTCCCTGGGCAACCTGGGACAGTGTCTCACCACCAGAACAGGGAAAAAAGCTTCTTCCTGATATCTAAACTTCCCCTCTAAATTTATCGCCATTCCTCCTTGTCCTGTCCCTGCAGTTCCTAACACAGAGTCCTCTGCAGCTTCCCTGGAGCCCCTTCAGTTTTTTTTGTTCTCTGAGGTTTCCCCAAAACCTTCTCTAGACTGAACAGCCCCAACTCCCTCAGCCTGTCCTTGTAGGAAAGGTGCTCCAGTTCTTTTACCAGCTTTGTGGCCTCCTCTGGACTTGCTTTACTTCTCTATTTGCTTATTCTTTAATTGGAGAAGGCTCTAAAAGCCTTCAGAAGGTAGAGCGTAGACAGCTAACAGTGTTGTACAGTACAGTGTGCTGTTCAGTGAGCAGTGCCATCTTCCTCCTTTTCAGGCTGGACACTGTCCCCAAGAGCTCTATATCTGCCTTACCAGTGACCCCTCATCCTGTGCCTGCTCGGGCCCCAGCAGACCTGCCCTCAGTGTCTGTCACCAAGCAGCTGCAGATGGTACCACGAGGGTCTCAGCTGTACAATGCTCAGCAAGCAGATATGTTTTATCAAGATCCCAGAGGAGCTGCTCCTCCATTTGAACCAGCTCCCTACCAACAAGGTAAGATTGACACCAAGCTCTTGCATCCTCATGCTGATTATAGTCTCTCTAGTTTGAGCTAGAGAAACACGCTTTGCAGGCCTCAGCAGCAGTTGAGGCCAATGAAATCCAGTTTTAGAGGGAGATCAGAGCAGTTGGAGGATGCAGGAAAGAATTTGGAGTGCCTAGCAGCAGTTTCGGGAGGTGAAGTCAAGGTTTTTCTTGTAGAATATGCTAGTTTGAGTTAAAGAAACACACTTTGCAGGTGTCAACTGCAGTTGAGGTGAATGAAATCCAGTTTTGGAGATCAGAGCAGTTGGAAGCTGCAGGAAAGAATTTGGAGGGCCTAGCAGCAGTTTCAGGAGGTGAAATCCAGGGTTTTATTGAAGAATATGCTAGTTTGAGCTACAGAGTGTTTAAACTCTTAAGTTGAAGTTCTGTGTTTAATTTATGAGTCGAAACAGCAGGTAGACATTTTTTTAATGTTTCTCTTCATGCCACCTGTAGGATGGAGTATTTGAAACGATTTGTTTGTGTGGACAATTGTGATAAACTGTCTGTTGTGGTTTTTCCTTCTTGTCCTCAGGAGTTTACTACCCCACTCAATCCATGTCTCGCTTCGTCCGACCTCCTCCGTCGGCGCCCGAGCCCGGCCCGGCGTACCTGGAGCATTACCCCCCGTACCTGCAGGAGCGTGTGGTGAGCCCTCAGTACACACCACCACAGCAGTACCCACCCATGGCACAGCCCCTGTACCCCCCACACTACGACAGCCGCCGCGTGTACCCCCCGGTGCAGCCCTACCAGCGCGAGGACGTGGTGCGCGGGAGCCCCGTGGCCATCGAGATCCCTCCGGCTGCCGGGCCCCCCTACGTGCCCGAATCCAGAGACAGATACCAGCAGGCTGAGGCTTATTGCCCAGTGGCTCCACATCTCGGTCAGATCAGACCTTCCTGCCACAGGGTAATGGGCTTTATATTCTGTTTTTGTTGTTGTTTGTGAAAAAATATCGACTACTTGAGAACTGAGGATCTGCAGTAAGGTGGTGGGAGGAAATAGGAGTTTGAGCTTCAGGAAGGTGATCAAAAACTAGAAGATAATTAAGTTACAGGTCAGCTCTGCCATTGTAATGATGTTAGTACATGAAACAAGAGGCTGCTATGTAGTGCTCCAAGGAGAAAAGCCTTGTAATTAACTTGGGAAGTCTCATATGGCTCTGACTTCTAGAGCAAAGATTAGAGGCCACTCCATTATAAACAGTGTGTGGAAATGGTCATTATTGTACTGCCCATCCCTGACTGAGCAGCTCTGTGCCTAAATCATAGATATTAAACATACCTCCCTTGACAAAGGAATTAAAACTTGTGCTCTTCCAACTTTTCTCTCAGTTTGCACAGTCCTACTAGGAAGACTCTGCAGTTAAACTTGTTTGGGCACATCCCCAGCTGAGTCCTGCAGAATAGCTGGATTCGATTCAGTTTAATCCAAATGACATATTTGTCATTGAGATTAAAGGCTCTGAATCCTTTTGCTGAGTCCAGGAAGTGTTTTTGACATAGCTTATAGATTTATCAGTTTGAGTTTGACATGTTTGTGGGATATTTGATTCTATTGCAAAATGAATACTTAGTGTGACTAGGTGATGTGCCAGGTTGGATAAAGCCTTGAGCAACCTGCTCTGGTGGGAGGTATCTGTGCCCAGGGTAGGGTGTTGGGACTAGATGATCTCTAAGGTCCATTCCAACCCTTAACATACTAGGAAATTATGATCTGTAGAGTTCTCCCACTTTGCCCTGTATGACTGGAATGTGACTTGCCATGCTGGAACATATTTCCAGTGGAAACTTTGCCAAATTGGAACACATTCCCTACCTTTGGGGTGTTTTGAGCTATGTGCAGGACTATGTATGTCCTGAGGGCACAGACTCAGCTGTGCCAGGGGAGGGTTAGGTTGGATATTGGGAAGAGATTTTTTACAGAGAGAGTGCTCAGGCATTGGAATGTGCTGCCCAGGGAGGTGGTGGATTCACCATCCCTGGAGGTTTTCAAGCTGAGACTGGATGTGGCACTTAGTGCCATGGGCTAGTGACCACGGGAGGGTTGGACTGGGTGATTTTTGAGATCTCTTCCAACCTGGTTGATTCTATGATTCTATCAAACATGAAAGTTAACAGGTAGACTTTAAAAAAGTGATCATAATTTGTTATTCTAATGATTATCTATGCTCTGTGTTTCCCTTTTCCTGCAGTCTGTGGCTGCCATACTTTGTTTGGGTAAACAACACTCATGAAATTACTAGTTTTGTGCATTAATGGAGGACCTTTGTAACCTTCTGCCTTCATTTCAGCCTCATGCCAGCCTGGACGAACTTCATCGACGAAGAAAGGAGATCATGGCCCAGCTAGAGGAGAGAAAGGTGATTTCTCCACCTCCTTTTGCACCATCTCCAACCTTGCCTCATCCTTTTCATTCTGAAGAGGTAAGCATATTTTGACAAAAACATGTCATACTAGCATGTGTAGAAAATGCTTTGGTGTCTGTGTGCTGAGAGGTGTAGGCAACAAGAAAATCAGAACAGTACAGCACTGGCAAGTGTTGAGGGACATAGATTTTGTGCTCCAAGTGAGAAGACCTTGTGCAGGCTCCAGTCTCAACTGGCTGTTCTCTGATCTTCCACTTACCCTGAGCTATCTGCTTTTGGTCCAACCAAGAGAAGTAATTTTGAGCCACTATTAATTGAAGTAGTCAGTCTTCACAGTTACTGGACTTTACTTCATTTGCTCCTGACATATTTAGAATGAAGTAACAGCTTGGTTGAGACTTATTTTTTTAACCAAGGTCAAAATATCACTTTCACACTGGCCAAGTGAGCAGTCAGCACTGGGAGTGTAGCCAGGTGATCAGAATTTCACCCATTTCATGCCTGCCATGGCTCAGTTCCAAGTGATGATGTATCTGATAAAAAGTAATCCTGCTGGTGTTTCTCAGGTTCTCTGCTGGTGAAATAAGTAGTGGTGGCTGTGCAGCTGCATCTTCCCTTCACTTACAGAACCAGATTTTTGTTTTTGTACAGTACTTGGATGAAGAGCTGAAGGTAGCTGGGAAATACAAAGGAAATGACTACAGCCAGTACTCTCCCTGGTCCTGTGACACCATCGGCTCCTACATTGGAACCAAAGATGCAAAACCCAAAGATGTTGTGGCAGCAAGGAGTGTGGAGATGGCGGTATGTGGGGGCCAGGGGGAAACAGAGGACAAGGGAGTGCTTCCAAGGGTTGGGAAGGGCTTGGATTTGCTTTCCAGGATGGTGGCAGTGCTTGTATTTAAGCTCAGAAGTGCATTGTGGTCACAGAAGGCATTTGCAGGTGTGCAGAGTGCTTTGTTTTCCACCTATGAGTAGTTCTGCATCTATGGAGCTGTTAGAGAATTCTGGATCTAGCTGCAGGATAATGACTCTACTCTCAAGCCATGGATAGCAAGATATGATTTGCCAGGATACTTTACAGCTAATTGAAATCCAGAAATCACTCTGTTCTGGCAGCTTGTTAATTAAGCATTTCCATCTGTTGCTGCTTGTACTTCTTTTTGTCCTTTTAAGGTGGTTGTTACTGCTGGTAATAATGTTAGTCATCAATTGCAGGACTCTGATTTGTGGCCATGACAGTACCCAAAACTTGCATGAAGTTTTTGAGAGAAGCACAGTCATGATGCCATACTAGGCTGATTCTGCTTGAGGGCACTTCCTAGCTCTACACGGTGCTTATTCAGCCCTTCACTGAGCTGTGGGTGTCTGGCTGTCATCTTGTTTGGTGCTGCTGCATTTTTGCTAGGTCAGTGTTGCAAAAGGAAGGGACTGCTGGAGTGTCAGGAATGGAGAAGAAAGGAAATAGGATTCTGCAGTACCACCACTGTTGCGTTTCTTCCTAATGTTCAGGCATCACTCAGCACAAGGAGTAGGCTGGTGGCACTTGCACCTAGGAGGACATTCAGGTTTTCAAGAGAAAAGACTGTTGAGCTTGAGGGTGTTTTACAGAGATATATCTGTTCTCTTTCACCTCCCGTCTGCAAAAGTGATTATCAGTCTGTCTTTTTCTGTTGTCACTCTCATGAGGGTGTTTTACAGAGATATATCTGTTCTTTCACCTCCTGTCTGCAAAAGTGATTATCAATTTGTCTTTTTATTTTGTCACTCTTATGGTGACCTTTCTTTGGCCATAAGGGGAAGGGGAGGACATTTCTACCCAGAATTTATTCTGCTGTGGACAGGGCTTCATCTGTTGCAACCACTGAACTAAATCATGGGATTTTTTTGGTCCAGCTTCCCCTCTTCAGTCTTCATTTCCCTCTGTCCCACTGGGATTAAATGTGTCTGGTTTCATGAGACCTCAAAGGCACTGTGTGAAATAGGAGCAAAAAGGAGGCTATCTCCCAGAAAAAGCAGAGCAAAAAAAGGCATTTCATAGAATCATAGAATTTAGGGGTTGGAATGGAGCTCACAGATGATCCAGCCCCAAACCCTGCCCTGGGCAGGGACACCTCCCACCAGAGCAGGTTGCTCAAGGCTCATCCAACCTGGCTGTGAACACTGCCAGGGTTGGGGCAGCCACAGCCTCCCTGGGACAGTGTCTCACCACCCTCACAGGAAAAAACTTCTGCCTAAGATCTAATCCAAACTTCCCCTCCTTCAATTTGTACCCATTGCTCCTCGTCCTGTCCCTGCAGTTCCTAACACAGAGTCCCTCTGCAGCTTCCCTGGAGCCTCTCAAGCTCCTGGCAGGTTGTTATGAGGTCTCCACACAACCTTCTCCAGGCTGAACAGCCTCAACTCTCTCAGCCTGTCTTTGTAGAGAAGGTGCTCCAGTTCCCTTATCAGCTTTTGTGGCCTCCTCTGGACTTGCTCCAACAGTTCCATGTCCTCCTCATGTTGAGGACACCAGAACTGCATGCAGTACTCCAGGTGGGTCTCACAAGAGCAGAGTAGAGGGGGAGAATCACCTCTTTGACCTCCTGGCCAGCTTCCCTATCCTGGTCCCAGCTCCCTGTAAAAGGAACGTGGTTTCTTTGTCTGAAGGAGTCTGAGTGTGTTTTCCCTGTGCTGTGCAGAACGTGGATAGCAAAGCCATGCGTGAGCAGCGGTTGGACATGCAGCGCCGCGCGGCCGAGGCCGGTGACGATGACCTCATTCCCTTCGGAGACCGACCAACTGTGTCCAGATTTGGGGCTATCTCTCGTACTTCCAAAGCCATGTACCAGAACTCTGGGCCCATGCAGGCCATGGCTGTTCAGGGGGCTACCACCAAATCCATCATTTCAGGTACAGTCTATGCTCTTGCCTTCTGCTGCCTGTTGCTGTTTTCTGTAATGCCACCGTGTGGTAGAGGTTGAAAGCCTTTGTAGACTTATTTATTGTCATAGAAATACAGGTGAGGTGTATGTTATGCCACTAAAAATAATTCCAGGTAGGGTTACACTGAGAAGGCTGAAGGACAAGGCTGATACTGCTTTCTGAGGTCACTGGGTTTGTTCTGCCTGGAGCTGAGGAGACTGAGGGGAGACCTCATAGCAGCCTGCAGCTTCTTCATGAGGGGCAGTGCAGGGGCAGCACTGATTTCTGCTCTCTGGGACGAGGGACTGGAGCCAAGGGAATGGCTGGAGCAGTGTCAGGGGAGGGTTAGGCTGGATATTAGGCAAAGATTATTCCCCCAGAGGTGTTTGGGCACTGAACAGCTCCCAGGGCAGTGGGCACAGCCCCAAGGCTGGCAGCGCTCCAGGAGAGTTTCGCCAGTGCTCTCAGGCACATGATGGATTGTTGGGGTGTCTGTGCAGGGACAGGAGTTGGACTCAGTGATCCTTGTCAGGGTCTCTTCCAACTCAGGATATTCTATGATTCTGTGACAAGTTTGTGCACCCACAGTGTATGTGTTAGTGATTTATTGTGGTTTGGAACAAGTTACTTCGTTCTGCTAATCCCTCTGAGGTAAGGAACATTTCAAGTCTGTTCTAGTACAGTTCAGAAAGTTACTGTCTTCACAAATGCATAATGCAAAACCATCACAACGAAGTAAATAAATTAAGGACTATAAATACTACAAGTAAATGAAGTACTGCTGCAGTCCTGCTCTGTGGGTGGCTGCTGGTGCAAGCCTAATGCTGTACCCACTGCCTTGGATACTGTTAGAAAAGGCAAAAAAAACAGGAACAGTTGATAACTCTACACATCTGTTTTCTAATCACATGTATAGTGTGGCTATATATCTTACTCCAAAAGGTGTCTCTTTCTTGAGGTGCACTGAGTAATCTCAGAAGAAGACATAATTAAATTCCCCCAAACCTCCCAGATTTTTCAGGCAGTAACTTTCTAGATGTTATTACAGGTAGAACTCTGACTTCCCTGAGAAGTTCATCTCCAAACTGTAGTTAACTAGGTGTATCAGAATCATCAGTCAACTCTCAAGTCTTTTAGGAGCTTAAGTAGTAAAAATAATTGCTCTGAGTGGCTGTAAGTTTTGTGTCCTCATCTCCCTGAGTGCCCGAAGTCCTTCACAGCATCAGACTCTGGAAGGTTGTTACAGATGTGCATGAAGGGTCATGTATTGGGCACATGATGAGTCATGTGCAATATTTCTGAGTTCAGCCTTAGAGGCCTGTCCTGTCTGCTTGTTCTCTCATGTCTGCTCAGTTCTGTGTTGGTTGGACTGCTGATAGCTCTGTAGTAAAACAACCTGGTTTTCTTTCTGTTCCCTGGCAGACTACAGTCCTTATGGAACTCACGGTGGCTGGGGAGGCTCTCCATATTCTCCTCATCAAAACATACCTTCTCAGGGACGTTTCACTGACAGGTAGCATTGCTTGCTTTTTTTCTTTTGCCTTTTTCTACATTTTCTGAGTTAGAGCTTATTATGGTAATCTCCTTACTCTGGCTGTTCTGATCCCAAAGGGAGAGGCTGTCCATGTCAGATGTGGCTGGTCATGGCAAACAGATGCCCTCAGCAGAACGGGAGCAGCAGCTGCGCATGGAGCTGCAGCAGGTCGACCATCAGATCAGCCAGCAGACACAAATGAGGGGACTGGAGGTTGGTACAGCATTTGGAAGAGTGGGGAGGGATGATATGGAGAGAGGTGAAGCTAGGAAAGCTGCTTTTCTCTGACTGTAGTGATACTCAGTAACAACACTTAATTCTGTGGTACAAGTGTCAGCATCTGCTTAGCAGCAGCTTCCCTGCACTTCAGGTGCAAATCAACACCAGACTTGAACCTGCACTCTGCTCAGTCACGTTTGCTGTCATTCTCTCTCTTACTTTCTCTCTCACTTACTTTCCCTCTGTTCATCTGTCAGAGGCAAACTCATGGTGTAAATGCCTGTTCCCTTTGGCTTTGCTGCCTTTGGGAATGTCTGGGTTTATATACAGAAAGCCATGACCTTCATCTGTTTCATGTTTGGCTTTGTGTTGTACCTGTTTCTTCCTAAATAGCACAAGCCACAAGAGTCAGGGAAGTTATATAGTTCTATAGTGTGTTAAGGGGTCGGAATGGACTTTAGAGATGATCCAGCCCCAAGCCCTGCCCTGGGCAGGGACACCTCCCACCAGAGCAGGTTGCTCAAGGCTCATCCAACCTGGCTGTGAACACTGCCAGGGTTGGGGCAGCCACAGCCTCCCTGGGCAACCTGGGACAGTGTCTCACCACCACAACAGGGAAAACTTCTTGCTGATATCCACTCTAAATTTCCTCTCTTTCAATTTATTCCCATTACTCCTTGTCCTGTCCCTGCAGTTCCTAACAAAACTACGAGATATATCTAGCTTGAAAAATTAAGGCTTAATGTTCTGTGTCTCCTCACTTGCCCTTGTGAAAGAATGAGCTGAAATCTTTGTATTTTGTGAGACACAGAAGGAGAAATGTCAAGGCACAATGAAAGAGTTGTTTTAGCAAACTTTAGTTAACTTTTTTCCTCCTAGGAAAAATGTGTAAATATTTACCAGAAAACTATTCTAGGTACCTCAGCTTGTATTCATGTTAACGTTTTCCCAGAAGGAATTGCTGTAAGTAGTGGATAGCAGCTCCTGCTGGAGCTGTGCTTATCTGAAAATACCATGTGTTCCAGAGGAGGGTTAGAGCAGATTAGTTTGAGAGCTCACGATTAAGTCACAGCAGCAGTTGTATTTTGTAGCAGAGGAGGGTTAGAGCAGATTAGTTTGTGAGCTCACAATTAAGTCACAGCAGTAGTTGTATTTTGTACTTAACTTGAAACATAACTTGTGTTCTTGTGCTCTTGGTTGGGAACAGGAGGAGAAGATGTTTTAAATCTTGCATGTCTGCCTTTGCCATAATAGAAGAGTATTGGGAAGTTGCAAAACCCCTAAGTGGCCTTCCTCTCCTGCTCATCCTTGCTGTGGTTGTGTCAGTGTTCAGTCCTGCAGAGTGGAGTGCTGAGCCTCAATTTTACCATAATTTGAATTTGGCAGAACTAGTGAGTTACTTTGAGTAACAACAGCTTTCAGTTTCTCTTGTGTGCAAAGCTGCAAGTAGATACTGGAAATCCAGGAGGCTTCATTGATTTCCTTGTTACAAGGCAATGACATAATTGAGTCAGGGCATGAAGAACTAGGTCACTTTTTGCTTTTTTTCCCCAAATGAATGAGCATTTCTTCTTGAAGACCAGCCAGATGTTGGGTTGTGTGCAGTACTAGATGGTATGTTTAAATGCAGAGCACACATTTCAAGAACTGATTCCCAAGGATTAGTGGATTTTTGGAGTGGCTGACATAGCTCCTGCTTTTAGTAACTTGCAGCTTGCTAATGACCAGTCACTTGGCCCTCCCTGTCCCTCTGCCTCCTCATGTGGGCCAGTAGAGCTACATCTTGACATCTGCATCTCTCAAGATAACTTTGTATGATATGGTAAAGATTCTCTGCTGCAGTTTGATACCTTCTATTGGTGTAAAATAGAGCAGCAGATTTGCTTACCTGCTGTTCTCTTTTGTTCAAGAAATAGCTCACAAAAGAGCAGTGTTTTTGTTCATGGGCTTAATCTTAGTTCTGAGAAGGGAGTGGAGTATCAGGAGCACACAGGCCAATTTGTGGCAGTAAAAGGTATTTACCACTGCTTGTTTGAAAGGGAAGGGAGTGGAGTATCAGGAGCACACAGGCAAATTTGTGGCAGTAAAAGGATTTACCACTGCTTGTTTGAAAGGGAGAAGACTTGTCCCTGTGTAAATAAACACGCTGAAACCTGCACTGGGAGTGATTTCAATTTGGACTTTGTGAAGTGTGGAGAGAGAAGGCCTTGGTTTTGCAAACGAGCAGTACTCTGGTGTTGTGGCCTTAGAGCTGTCCCCGTGCTTGGTGTGTTGTGTGCTCAGTTGTGTATGTGCTTGGCTTTATGCATTTAGGCTGTTAGTAACAGGCTGCTGTTGCAGAGGGAGGCGACTACCCTGGCAGGCCAACCACAGCCCCCACCCCCACCTCCCAAGTGGCCTGGGATGATCTCAAGTGAACAGCTGAGCTTGGAGCTACACCAGGTGGAAAGGGAAATTGGGAAGAGAACCCGTGAGCTGAGCATGGTGAGTGCTGGGGGGGTGGGAGGCAGAGAGGTGGAGTGGAGAGCCCTGGCCAAAAGGCTCTCTGCTGGAGTCATCCACCTCCCTCTCCACCTCTTTATTCTTCCAAACCTCCCGAGAAGTGCTTTTGAGTCTTCTTCATGAAGAATTTTAATTCTAGCCACTTAAGTGCTGTTACTTTGTCACCGTTGGGAATCAGTGTGGCACTGAATTTGTGGAAAACTAAATGGTCTCCAAGGTCACTGTGCCATGAGTTCTGTAAACTGCTTTAACATAGAAAACATCTGCAGGTACAGGCTAGAGTTGAGAAGTCTGTGTGCTGTTACAGTCTGTGGCCTTTGCTTGTTGTTACAAGGATCATCCCTTCCTTTTGGGAAGTACTGTGTCCCGAGAGGATGAGTCTGGTTTTGTCTCATGGCTTTTGTGGGTTACACTGTGTGACTCCAATTTACAGCCCTTCAGCATCAGCCCTAGAGGATGAAGTCTCCGATTCTTGTAACATGTTGTTCAAGAGTTTTTTCTTCTTTGTTTTTTCTTTTCAAAGGAGAGCCAGTCTTCACTGGATATGAAAACCAAACTGGGCACCACTAAACAGACAGAAAATGGACAATTAGAACCACAAAACAAGGTTCCAGCTGAGGACCTCACACTGACCTTCAGGTACATGGGCTGTGACATGTCCTTGTGTAACAGGACAGTGACTTCTCCAGGGGCACTCTCCTGGGGAAATAATTCCCCTTGCCTCATGTCAGCTCTGATGGGGAAGCATCTGCTAGGGAAGGATCATAAAACCAAGTACAAGTAAGAATTCAGGGCCCTTTTCCCTGCTGAGGAGGTGAGTGGAATGAGACTATATAAATTAACATGAGAGAGGACTTGCAGTGTCTGTCAGACCAGGAGTGCACCTAGTTTGGATGATTAGTAGGGAGGAGCAGGAGTTAAAACAACTGCCATAAAAGAGATGTTTGTCTCTTGTTTTAGTTTCAAAGAAAGGGAATGTCACGAATGTGAGAGGAAGGTTATCCCATCCTGCTAAGGTGTGTGTGGTGGATTTGTCTAGGAAGGTATGTAACTTTGGAACAGAGTTCACTTTGATTTGTAGGCAGTGATCTGTATCTGTGTAGGTGCTGGCATTGATTTCACTTTACATTTGGTAGACAGCTGGAATAAAGTGTTGGCTGAGGATGCTGGAAATCTCCCCAGGAAGCATTTTCAGAGGGCCACAAGCACCTGCCTGTGTCCAGATTAGCACTGAACAGAGAAGCTCAGATGTTTCACAGAGTTCCCACAACTTCATGTGAGCAGTTTGGCTATTTAGACAGTGTATTTACTCAGAAAACATGTCCCTCAGTTGCTGGTGAAGTCTGCACCTCCTGCTGTAACCACTCCTTGAGTCCTGTGCTGCATTGTTAGATTGAAGCCTCCAGAGCAGGAACTCCTTTTTCCATAAGGAGCTCTGAAAGTAATGAAACAAAACAACTCTTTATGTTTAAAAAATAATAAACCAGATAAGCAATCCAGGTAAGATAACTATTCTGCAGTGTGTGCACCGAGGTCCTTTCACTGAATTAAGTGACAACATCTCAGTAATTACTTCTCACCCTCTTCCCTTTTCTCCCCAACTCTCCCTCAGCAGTGATGTTCCGAACGGATCAGCTTTGACACAAGAGAACATTGGCCTCCTGTCAACCAAGGCAGCATCTCTGAGCCTGGGAGAGGATGCAGAGGGAGGAGGAGACAGCCACGACTCGCAGCGAGCAGGAGTGCCCCCCACGTCTGCTCCCTGAGGTCAGGCCAGCACACCCCAGAGCTGCTCCTGCTGGGGTGGCAGCAGCTCCCAGCACCTTCCAGGGCTGGTGGGAGAAACTCAGGAGCAGCAGCAGTAGCAGAGCAGCAGGTCCAGAGGCAATGTGCACAAACACAACGACTTAGAAACAAATCCTGCACATAGTTCACATTAACGCATTTTTTAATTAAAAAAAAATGAAAATTAGCAGTATCTGCAAGCAATTCAAATTAAATTTGTTTTTGTTCTGTGAATGAACTTTATTTTAATAACTTTGGACGCCTTGAATCCCAGGGCTTAAAAAAAAAAGATATTATATATATACTCTGTTTGATTAATTGTATGATCTTAATGAAGTAGGTTTTTTTCTTTTTATTTTGGTATTATTACATACCCAGTGCAGAATTCCTTATCGACTTCATTTCTAGAACAACCTGGCCACTTCCTTGTATGGTTTTAAGGGTAAACAAGGAGTGAGGGTTGGAGAGTAGCTGTGAATTGCAGTGTCAAAAGATGGGCAGAAAGCTTTGTTTTTAGCACAGTTCCTCCCATTGTGGCTTGGAGCTGGAGCTTCTTGCTTCAGTCATTGATTTTAACCTGCAAGTGAGAGAGTCTTTGCAGTGTGACAGCTCTGGTCCTATTTTATAGCTGCCTATTTTAAGGGCTGTGGATTTTAGCATTTGACACCTGAGAACCAACCTGCAGCTTGTCCCTCACTGCTGCAGTGAATCCATCCTGGATTTCCCTCTCATGGGGAAACCTCACAGCAAAATCATCACTCAGGGTGCAGCACAGATCTTGCCACGAGTACTGACAAGCAAATTTGGCTTGTTAGAGCTAGTGCTTCTCCAAGCAGATGCTTTGTAAGCATAAGTTGGAGAAGCCCTAAGCCTTTTTAGAAATTTTGACTGATTGTCTCCTTGCTGCACATTTTTTGTCCCTTTTGACATACCCTGGGGTGAGACCCTGGATACAAAGAACTCTGGAGAGTGATTTGAAAGTGCTGCTCCCTCTGCCCCTTCTTGGCCTGTTCTTGTTTTTCCTTTCTGGGTTAGACTACTAAGTTGGAAAGCACTGGTTATGTAATAAATTACTGCATTGCTTTGGTTGGGTAAAGCAAGAGTTAATAAATTTTCTTGGGTTTTAGTTTTATTTTTTCCTTAACCTTAACTCCTGCTGAGGTCATAGCAACCTTGGGCTAAGCTTTGCATTCATCATACTGTTAAATAAAACAAAAGGGGGGTGGGAGGGAGGGGATACAGTCCCACTATTGCCTACCAGTAGGAGAGTCCAACCAGAAGACTCTTT